TGGGGGCCTGCACGCATAATCGGGCCCCGAGAGCTCAGTAGCGAAGCTGCATAAAAGCCAGCCTATCTCCCACTCCCCCCCAGACACCTGATCATCATCCCCTTCATCCAGGCCCTTTCAAATCTCCCCCACAAAACCTCTCCTCTTCTATGTCCTAAGCGCCCCGTGTACATCACCATGGGCTTCACACCTCACAGCTCTTGGTACCACCTGCCACGGCTGGGCTGGGGGCTGTAGGCAAAACCCCACGCAGGTACAACACTGGGTTGTCACCTGCCCCGGGGACAAGGACATCCTTGGGGTACTCAGCTCTAACTCGTTTGGAGGTCCTTGGGTCCTTGAATCTCAAGGGGGGCTTGGCTGTGCTATAGGACTTGCAGGTGTCGGTCATCTGCTGGGCTTATGGGGCTGCTCTGGACCCTGCCCAGCTGCATCAGGGGATAGCTGTGTGCCCCACACCCCATCCATAGTGTCATCAAGCTCTGGCTTCCCCACGTACACCTGGTTCATCTTGTTACAAGCTTTGACAAGCTTCTGTGAATATTATTGTCAAATAATATTCATCTGTGAAATATATTGTCAAAAAAAGTCTAAGAGAGTTTGGTGTCCCCAGATCTTACCAGCCTCAGGGCTCTCCAGCACAGCACTACCTCCATCAGCTCCCTGTCCACCCAGTGGCACAAATATTCCTGTTACATTCCCCCTTCTAGAGACCAGGCTTCCTCTCCCTCATCTTCCTAACCCTGGACTAGGACTTCCTCTACGTGTCTCTGGAAGGAGACAGCTGTGTGGGCTGCAGCAGGAACTGCATGAATTGCCTGGCTCTGCTCAGCAGTGCTGAGATGCTAACGAGCCCAGGCTGCACCCTGGGCTGCGGGATGCAATGCCCTGGGTATCTGAGGGGTGAAGGAGGCAAATCCTAGGCAGGAAGGAACCAACAGCACCAGGAGCTCTCATTTAATGTGCAAGACCAGCAGTAATGGGCTTAGGTCACCAAATCTGGAGTGAAGAGTCATTTCCAGGGGAGTCCTCAGCCCTGCAGGGGCCAGTCAGCAGCAGGGGAAGGGCTGCAGAGGGAAACCCTCGGCAGGCTAAGCCTCAGGGAAGATGAGGAAGCCGGAGAAGATGCTGTCAGACCCTTCAATCCCTACCACAGAGTTCTTCTCTGTTGGCTCCAGCCAGATGGACTCATTTGCTGCCACCTTGAGGACCACACCACCCGTGGTAACCTGGTAGCTGCTGTGCACATAGTCACAGAAGGTCACCACCTTCTCGCCCCTGCTACCACCCCGGCCCTTTTTCACACTGAGGCACAGGTTGCCCCTAGAGGTGATGTGGTAGGTGAAGTAGTAGATGCCTGGGACCCGGCAGATGAAGCGGCCATACCGGTTCTCATAGTGGCCCTTCTCGTTGGTGATCATGCGGTCGAAGCGGATAGGCTGGTCCCGGCGTGGGTAGGAGCTGATGGTCCTGGCAGCAGAGAAGGCAGACTTGAGGGTGGCCTTGTAGTCACCAGAGTCCCCCTGAGGGCCAGGGGGTCCCATGGGACCTGGCAATCCCTTTGAACCCGGGGGGCCCTTGGGGCCAATCTTCCCAGGGTACCCTGGCGCTCCTGGGTCTCCCTTCTCCCCCATGTCTCCTTCGTACTCCACCTGGCCAGGGGGACCTAGAAAGCAAGAGGAAGAGTCATTGTGTTCACAGCCAAGCCCCATGGGTCTGCGGAGGGTGCACTGGGAAGGAAAATGATGGTACCTGTGCCAGAATGTGTGTCAGCAGAGCCTCTACCCATGCAGCAGGTGTGACACCCCTTGCTCTCATGCACCCTCCCTCCCCAGGTTCCTCAGGGTGCTCCAGTCTGTCCAGCCCCTTCTTTCCCCAAGCAACCCCCCCACCTGATAACACCCCAAAGGGACTGGTGGAAAATGGATTTCTTTCCCAAGACCATACCCCTGGCACTGCCTTTTCCTGCTCTCGGTATTCATAAGAGGATATTTTCCCACCTGCAGCCTCCTCCTTACCTTGCTCTCCCTTTAGGCCATTCTCCCCATCTCTGCCGTTGCTCCCAGGCTGTCCTGGTGACCCGGGGATGCCTGGGATGGTGCCATAGGTCTTGCAGAGTGTGGCACTTGCAAGCTGCCCTCCAGCCAGGCAGATCAGCATCACCCACGTGGTCTGCATCTACTGGAGCACAGGAGGCTGTCAAGGGCTTGCCTTGGGCAGTGAGAGGGATGGGGAAGGCACTCGGCTGCTCTGGAGGACAATGACTAGAAGTACTTCTGGGTAATATCATCAGGGAGGGAAAACATCCTGCTGCAGAGCAAATCTACTCACCTGATGGCCTTGGAGGGACCAGTGTCTTTGGGCATGGGAGGACTTGTCAGTCTCTTCCTACTCTTAAATTACCAGTTTACAGGTGCCCAGAGCTTCAGCCACATGAATACCTGGGGACAGGTTAGGCTGTCCCAGAGGTCTGATGTCCAGCCTAGCGGTGCTGCTGCCACGGGCATGTGCTGCAGGTCCCTGATGTTCTGAGTCCCTACTGCTGCCTCAGAGGAGAAATTCTCCATCCCATTTTAGGACCACACTGTAGAGTAAACTCCTTCCCCAGGCCAGAGCAGTTTCATTGTCTGCAAAGGGATAGCTCTTGCTTTCCACCAGCATATCGGAGGAACAGCTTTAGTCCTTGCAGATGGCAAAGGAATCCCCAAACCTGCCCTCCTAACCCCTGTGGGTTGCCGTTGTGTCCTGCCACACACCTGCTTCATCCCAGCAGCATTTCTGTATCTAACCAAGTTTAATGGGACAGTCACCTGGGCTTCCAGTCCCTGGGGTCACATCTTCCTTCTGCCCTCCCTGGATCCCTCCCCCGGTTCAGCTCCTTTCCCCAGTTCCTGGTGCGTGTGCATGTGTGGTAAGCACAGGGCATTTGGGGGCTGTATCTGGACATCACATCACCCCAGCCATATTCTCTGGCCTCACGTGGAAATGCCCAGCGCTGAAACTCTGGTGTCAGTGGGAAAAGAGGCTGGTGAGTTGGATCCTGCAGCCGCAGCAGCTCTGATTCAGATGTGGCAGGTACAAGGATCTGCAGGCTCCCAGCCGGGCCCAGGCAGACAAACAAGAGCATCTCAGGGAAGGAAAGCACCCCCAGGGCTCCTTTTCAGACCGATGCTCAGTCCCTGATCACCCCCCTGGGCCTTTGCCATCTCCCTTTCCATCCCCCACTCCCACAGCTGGGGCAGGAGGCATCAGGGTCCCAGCAGGGATCTCCACCACCCCAGCCCCGCAGCCCCCTTTCTCTTCTGCCCCAGGACACAGCGCAGTGCCAGTGATGCAGGGGTGACGGTCACCCTGGTGCTGCTGGGTCCCCCGCGTGCCCCTACCTGCAGCGGGGAGCTGGGGCCCAGCCCCGCCGACAGCTTGCTCTTGCTTACCTTGAGCGTCTTGTTGCACGGACCAGGAGATGGAGCAGGACGCACCAGTGTCCTGCTTGGAAATGACCGTGGGGGGAAGCGGAAGTTTTCTGCAAAGGCTGTTGTGAAAGAACCTGGACCACATCCTTTTTTTATCTTTAGCTCCTGCCCTTTCTTCAGTGGCACTTTCATATCCGCCACGAATGCTGTCCATCAGCTCAGCAGAACATGCCGTCCCCAGTCAGCACCCTGGGGCCTTCAGGCTCTGGACCCGGGGAGCAGAGGGATGTCCGCTCTGACCTGCAGGCTCCCTGGGTTCTGCCTGGGTTTGCTTGCTGTGGGGAGCACTGCCATGAGCTCCAGACAAGTTTGGGGTAACCCCTCCGGACTGCAGAAATGTGCATGCACATCCCTCAGGCTTCTCCGCGCATACCCAGCTCTGCTGGGAGGTGCCGGCAGGCCCAGAGGGTGCTACATGGTCTCAGCATCCACCACCTTGAATCTGTCCCCCAGGCTCTCCTAAAACGTGTGGATGGGAAGTGATTTCACCCTGTGGTAAAGGCATTTCCAGTCCTGCTTTTCTGCTGATGCCTTGTGGAAGTGAAGCACAGGACTTTCAGGGGAGATGACCTTTATTTTCCACTGTACAATGTGTGCAACCAGGAGGAACCTCTATTGGGTTTTAGTGGGCTCTGTAGCCTCCACAGCCACGAGCTCCTCTGTTCTGGCTCTGGGAAGCCAGTGCTTCCCCTGCCCCGTGGCTGGTGATGCGGGGAACTTGGGGATCTTCCAACCACGGGCAGTTTTCTGTGTGGCTTGTGCGCTCTGCAGCTGAACTGCATCCACTTGGAGAGGAAGGGGAGTATGAGGGTCCCTGCCTGGAGGAGTCTTGGTCCCCACTAGGTGGGGGCTGTGTGCATGGGCATGGGAACTGTCCCCTTCCTGCAGTCAGTGCAGCTGGGGCTCCTACCCTGCTGCACAAAGACAGCGTTGTGCATGGTGTGTGATGCTCACTGACGCTGAGCACGGCCGAGCCAGCGAGGGCTCAGGATCTTCCTGACACCACGCAGACATTCAGATGTCGTGCACACACGCATGTGTGCATGCCACATCCATCTGGCCACACGTGGGCTCCACCTGCCAAAGGCAAATCATGAAGGAAAAAAGATGCTGGGCCAGGAGCACTGAGGAAGGATTTATTGAGACTTTCCACAGCTGGGTCACAGCAAGGGTGCTACTGCAAGCCTGCTCCAGGACACCTGGTTGTCCCTGGTGCAACCCAGGTGGGAAGGGGAGAGATGCAGAGACACCTCTGGCTCCAGCAGCAGAAGGTGATGTGGGGCAGAGCCAGCAGGACCTGGGGGCTTGGCACGATCACTCTGCGTGCAGATGCGTCCAGATGTGACTGTTCCCCCCGTTCAGCAGCTGCCTGCCCTCAGTCCCCAGGCCAGGGGGTTGCAGCTGGAGGCTAGGGCTGATCCTTTTGTTGGGGCTTCCTACCTAGCAGACAAACCTGGAGCATCAGCAACAGCCTGGCAGTGAGCAGCAGCATTTGCAGCGCAGGGTGAAGAAGTCAGCATGCTGGGGTGGGCTCTGGTGGTCCTCTAGTCCGGGAAGAGCAGGAACCCGGAGAAGATGCTGTCAGAGTTGCTGATGCCCACCATGCCATTGTAGTCGTTCACTGACAGCCAGACCTGGCCCCCAGCGTCCAGGTGGAGGAGGATCCCACCAGAGCTGACCTGCATGGTGTTGGTCTTGTGGTCGCAGAAGCTGGTCATCTTGCTCCCGTTCTTGTACAGGATGACGCAGAGGTTGGCTGTCTGCGAGGTGTGGAAGATGAAGTAGTAGAGGCCAGGGATCCTGCAGGTGAACTTGCCTGTGGTGGTGTTGTAGTCATGGTTGGTGTTGGTGACGACGTGGTTGAACACCACAGGGACGTTCTTCAAGGGGTACTCGTTGGTCTGCCTCATCACTGAAAATGCTGACTGGTGTTTCCGCTTGTAGCTGCCTGGCATACCCGGCTCTCCGGCCATGCCCATCACCCCAGGGTCTCCAGGGGGGCCAGGGGGACCGATGGGGCCAGTCTTGCCTGGCAAGCCAGGGCTGCCCGGTTCCCCTTTTATGCCCTTGGGCCCTCGTGTTGCAGGAGTGGCCGGGATGCCTGTGGGGTAGTGGGGAGTGAAAACGAGTCAGTGTCAGGATGTGGACACAGGTTTCTCCAGCCCCTTCCCTCTGGCAGGAGAGGATTGTTGCCTCTCCCCAGTCTCCTCTCCTCTTGCCCTGTCCACAGAGGATGCTCTCCTGCAAACCAAGGCAGACTGGCCATGGAGGACTCAATGGCGGTCCTTCCCCTCTGTGCTCACTCACCTGGCTCGCCTTTGGCTCCCTTCAGCCCATCCCGGCCATCCTTGCCAGGCACACCCGGCATGCCTGGCAGGCCTGGAGCCCCATAGCAGCTGTGAGCAGCATCTCCCGTCACAGCAGACCCCAGATTTAGGAGTAGGAAGGCGAGGGCCAGATGGAGCTGCTCCCAGAAGCTCTGGCCCATTTTGGTGCTCTGCAGCAGGGAAAAGGAAAGAAAGCACTGGGGTGCACTGCACCAGGAGCACCTGGCTGCAATGGCTGTGCTCTTGGTGTCCCCCCAACACCAGTTGCCAGGTGGTGAGGAGTTGGATGTGTGGAGACACATCCTGGGCTCATCACCATCCCCAGGGCAGACCCTGATGGCACAAGGCAGGTTGGACTTTCAGTCTGGATGGAGCCATGAGGTCTTGCAGTACCTGTGGCCAGACCCAAGCTCTCCCAGGCCAGTGTCCCTAACTTCCTGCAGATGCATATGCCACTGCAGACCGTTTCACCACGCTGCACTGAGGCTGGAGCTCCCTGGACCTGCTTCATCTCACCCCTCCTCCAGCAGCAGCCTGACTTTCCTGGCTCGGCCCATCAAGATCATAGAATCATAGAGTCAGGGAATCATGGAATAGTTTGGGTTGTAAGGGACCTTTAAAGGCCATCTAGTCCAACCCCCTGCATCAGCAGGGACATCTTCAACTAGACCAGGGTGCTCAGAGCCCCGTCCAACCTGACCTGGGATGTTTCCAGGGATGGGGCAACCCGGGCCAGTGCTTCACCATCCTCAGTGTCAAAAATTTCTTCCTTATGTCACGTCTAAATCTATCCTCTTTTAGATTAAAACCATTACCCCTTGTTCTATTGCAACAGGCCCTGCTGGATTAAGCCCCCCCCATCAGCTGGGGATCTCCCAGGGCAGGCCCAGGGGACTGGGTCTTCCCCCAGCAAGTACAAGCATGCATCCCCCTCCATGACATGTGTGCAGCCTGGCAATGCCTCTGTCTCCTTCTCCTCCTCCTCTCAGCACTGTGCCATGCTGCTAGACCCCCAGACCCATGCAGCCCACCCCAAAGAGATGGACCCTGCAGCACGTCTTACCTCTGGTGGGGGGAGCAGGGCGCGGGATCCTGCGGTGCTGAGCCCTCCAGCTGCTGTGGGCACTGCCTGCTGGCACAGCACAGCGTGGTGACTCTCCGTGACACCCTCCCGGAGGAAGTCACTGAGTTAGGAAAAGGCCTTTGGGGACCCAGAACCCCAGCTGGCCCCCAGCTAGGTTTCACATCCTCCTGCCTGATTGTTTCCTCTGAGCAAGCACTTTCCTGGCTGTCAAGCGAGACCTGTACTTGTGCCACTGCAGCAGCAGGGGCTGGAAGGACAGAGGTGAGATGAGCCTCTGCCAAGAGATGTGCCACAAACCCTCCAACCACTGTGGGAATGAGCCCTCCGCAAATTGCCTGCCTTTCACCCATCCTTGACTCATTTCTGAGCAGAAGGTCAGGGAGCGGATGGGGAGCAGCACCTCACGCCAGCTCCGTGGAGCCGCCTGTGCAGTGAAGAGCTGGTGCAAGGTCATTGCCTGGCTCTGATGGGAGATGCTGCACCCCTAGGCAAGGGGACCGAAGGATGTTTCTCCCTGAGGGTTTCTGACCTGCAAGCTGGCTGTCCTCTCTGCACCTTGCCCTGTGCTCCATCAGCTCTGCTGGGTGTTGGATTCACTGGGGCCCCAGCATCCGTGGTTGGGGTGTTGCTCCTCGCAGGTGAGCTGGCCTCCTCCTCACTGCTCCAGGAATGGAGACATTTGACTGCCCAGCATGTGTGGAACAGGTCCTCCAAGCAGCAGTCCCAAGGCTGCTTTGGTGCTTTCTGGCTGCCTGATACCTGCCCAGCCTGGTGTACTGCCCACTAGTCTCACCTCAAGCCAAAGAGACAAGAGCATCACCCCAAAACCTCACCACCATCACCCCACAGCCTCAGTCAGCCTGATGTCCCTGTCCCTCCTTGCTGAAAAGCTGGAGCACCACAGCTGCCTTTTGCTTGTCTGTGAGAGTTTGGGTACCAAGAGAGGACCATCGGATGAGGTGCATGATCTGCTGCCTGCGTTGTACAGGACAGCTGGCTTGGACTCGTCAGGAAAAGGATTCGTACAGGCTAGTCCCAGAGACTTGCCATTCCTCTAAGTGCCAGCTCTGCCTGTACACTCAGATCCCTCGTGTCCTCCCACCTTTGCGCTTGGGATCTGTGCTTGGCCAGGGGCAAGCTGGGATCACTCCTCTCCCTGGACAGCTTGGGAAGGGGCCCAGAACATTGATGGTTTGGGGAAGACGCATGAATAGGAAAGAAAACCCAAGCGGCAGTCATGGGAGACGGGTTTATTCGTACTGACGGGGAGGATGCGAGGCAGTAGTGGCCCAGCGCCAGAAAGGCGTTTGCAGTGGTTAGTGTAGCAGAAGCAGTGGCACTCAGGAGCAAAGAGCCACAGCTGGTGAACGGCCCCGGTGACAACTGGGCCCCTCCAGTGTGGGGTCTGAACACCCAGGAGTAGAAAGGGCTGCTGCAGCCAGGAGTCCTCTGCCTCCAGGATGGAGCTGGCAGGCTCAGTGCCTGGCAACTTCGTGACACTGGTGGAAGCACAGGACCTGTCTGGTGGCTCAGTCTGGGGACATCCTGGCTTGCTGTGGTATGAAACCATCCCATGCCCTCACATGGGGAAAACACATGCAGACACGTACACTGCAATTCTCTGGTGCCAAGCAGGACTGGACTGGTGGTCCGTCAGCCCGTCTGCGGGAAGAGCATGAAGCCGCTGAAGACACTGTCTGCCTCGGAACCGCTGTAAATCTTGCTGCCCCTGGCAGGGTCGGTGCTCACGGAGACCCGGTCACCCACGGCCAGGCTGAGCACACTGCTGCCCGAGTTCACCTGCAGGATGTTGCGGCTGTTGTAGTCACAGAAGCTGACCACGCGCTCCTTGTTCTTGGTGATGCTCAGGCAGAGGTCCCCGCTGGAGACCACCTGGTAGGCAAAGTAGTAGAGCCCAGGGATGTGGCAGGTGAACTCCCCCGTCTGGGGACTGTAGGAGCTCTCCTGGTTGGTGATGATATTGTCAAACACCACCGTCCTGCCCATGGATGGTGGGGACCTCCGCGAGGCGGAGAAGGCAGGATGCGACTGCTCCAGGATGTTTCCAGCTTTCCCCTTGTCCCCTTTCTGCCCTGGCTGGCCTGGGAGCCCGGGCGGGCCATGCGGGCCGTGGTAGCCCCGGTTTCCTGGGATGCCAGGAGGCCCTGGCTCGCCTGCATCCCCTTTGAGTCCCCGGATGCCCGTCCTCTGTGCTGATTTCCCTGCGGAGAGGTGATGAGGAGAAGCAGTTCGTGCATGTCTGGCATCTCCCAAGCTGCTCCCACAGCCCATGATGCTCTAGCAAGAGGTGTGAGGCTCCCAGGCCATCCACACCATGCCTCCCTGGCTCTCCCTTACCTGGCTCTCCCATGTCACCCTTCTGCCCTGGCCTCCCGTTGAGGCCAGGGACTCCTGGGAAGCCGTCTTTGCACGGTCCCCGAGCAGGGCCATGCCCAGCGCGGCTGCCAGGATGCTGGTTGCCAGCCAAAGCCCGGGTTGCATCCTGCCTCCCTACAAGCACAGGGGTGGGGGAACTGGGGATGGGGGCAAGCACACGGCAAACACACAGATGCACCTTGGACACAGACACGCAAGCGCTCTCGTCAGATGCATGCACAGACCTACCACGCCACCCAATACAGGTAGCCGGACACCACATGCAATGGGGAAAAGAACTTCATGGAACGATTTTGAGGCTGTTTCGTTGCATGAGCTGAAATCATTGATGTTACTGAAAATCTCTGACATGTGCCTGTGGCAGGGCTGTGGGACTGGAGAGCCCAGGACGTGGAGCATGGCATAAACCCTTGGTGCGCATCCTGGGGATGGATGGTCACATATCAGATGCATTCAGGGCATGTTTCTTCCAGTGTTGGGGGAACAAGCACGGATGTACAGGGCAGTCGTCCCATGGGGTGGAGAGTACAAGTGAGGAAGAGGTGCGAAGAGACACAACAGGGAAGAGATAAACAGGAAAGGAGTAAACAGGCAAAAGGGATACAGATCTCCAATACACAGAGCTGGGAGAGAGAAGGGAGGTCCTGAGCACACAGACCTACCCCAAAACCTGGAGTACTCAGCCCAGGAGAAGCCTGCAGAGTCCACTGACGTCCATAACCACATGCAGCAAGGACAGATTCCTGCAGCTCCCTCCTCCCCTTGCATCATCTTTTCTCCCTTTTCCCACTTCAAACTCTTGTGGAGGGGGGAAGTGAAGAAAGGAGGGGACATGGAGCAAGAACTGGAGAGCGGCAGCAGAGGAGGCATGTGTTCCCAGCTACTTGGGGTGACTTACCTGCTTGCTGGGGCTGAAGACAGATCAGTCTAAGCAGCAGCTCTGTTTGCTGGAAGCTCTTCCTTGGGAGCAGAGAGGAAGATGAGCAGGGTGGGCAGATGTATTTACATGCACAATGGTTTGCCTGGTTGGGGAAGAGAAGTGCCAAGTTTCGCTTTTTCTGCACAAGAGAGAAACTTCTTCCCCTTTCTGTGCTCAACCCTGGCTGTGCTGGTCACAGTCAGCAAACAGCTTGGTCAGCAAAAGTGCAGGACCCATGGTTCCCAGCCTGGCCCAGCAGCAGTCCCTGCAGTCCCAGCACAAAGCAACACAGAGTTGGAAGATGCCCAAAGGCATGCCAGAGCTCTGTCCCTGCAGGAAGGGACAGATGATGAGAGCACTAGGTGGCATGGCCATCCAAAGGGTGCTTGGCGGGGCCCAGGGATCGCTCTTGATGGCTCCTGGACTGGGCGATGGGCAGAGCATGGCTGTCACTAGTACCCAGCCTTGTCATCGCTGCTGCTGGGGGCTGACCCCTCCAGTTGCCCACCTTGGCGCTGCACCCTGATGGAGCAGGGCTCCAGCAAAGGGACCGTTAGTGTCTGTGTGGCTCAGCTTGGCCTCGAGCATCCATAATGAGACATGTCCTTCCCACTGCCCTCACTTCAGTGGTTTGGGGACCTTGGCTCTGTAGTAGAGTGGGAGAGGATGGGGATCTCTGGCACCTAGGTTGCTCCTGGCATCCTTTGAGTGGCTTGTGCCTTTCCCAAAGGAAACACAGAAGCAGCTGGAGCTCAAGGGAGGATGTTCAAGGAAAGAGGATGGTATGCAGGTCTGGGATCAGGGTGGTCCCAAAATCAAGGGCGTCTGGCAAACCCTCTGTTCCCCCTGCCTGCCACCTCTAGTGGTCCCAGGGAAGGTTGTTTCCAAAACAGATGAAAAAGAGAACGACTAGTGGGAAGCCAAAAATCACCCCCAGAGACCCTTGCCAGACAAAACTTTGCTCATCAGTGCATCTCCATTAATAATTACCTCTGAAGATCTGTCACTGAGCTGGTCTTTAATTCATTGAATATATGTCCTCTTAATGCAATACAATACACATTTTTAATCAAAATGTCACCCCATAATAAATCAGGTGCCCAGAAGAAATGCAATTTTATTCTATCAGCAGAGTTCCTCTATCAACCAGACCTGTAATCATGTCAAGAAAAGATGACAGGTGAGTTTGAAAAGACCTACCTTCCACAAAACGGTGTTTCTGGACAGTAATTGTATTTCTGCCCTATTGCCCTTTCTTAATATTCAGCCAAAATGAGACTACTCCATCATTTCATCCAGGATTGATCAATGGCTGTGTCCTAGTGCTCCTGTGTCCTTTGTCCCTGACTGCACCTGTAACCCCATTTAAATGATGAATTTAAAGGTTTCCAGCATCTCCTGGAAGTTGATATTGGTCCAGGAGGCACCTCCTCCAGGTCCCCGAGACTCCTGAACAGTGTTTAGCCTCACTTACTTGACTTTCAGTGTTGCTGCATTCAAACCAAGCCTTTCTCTCCCATCCTCAGAGCATCTCATCCTCCTCCTCCCAATCTGCAGCTGACACATCTGCGGCTCCAGAGGATGGCTGGCGGCGGGGAGCCATGGATGAGCATTGTACAGCTCCGCCCTGGAGGCTTCTGCAGACCCCATCTGCCAGCACAAAAATACCTCCAACCCGGCACTCTCCTCCTCCTTCCCTTCAGGATGTCTCCGGGAGCGGGTGGTGGCCGAAGGACGCGGTGAGGGCCGTGCCCAGCGTGGCACAGGCAGCGAGGTGACACACCACGAGGTGGCAGTGCTGCCTCAGCCATGCTCGGTGTCACCGGCGCATCAGGGCTCCTCTTCCTCCTCCAAAAGCAGGGGCGGGGGCGACCCCCTGGGGATGCCTGTGCCCCAGAGGCCACATCACAGGATGTCCAGCTGCAGAGCAAGCGCACGGGCATCTCAGCCTTGGCACCTAGTGGTCACACATCAGGAGCCAGAAGAACCCAGCTCCCTCCTGCAAACACAGCCCCAGTGGGGCCACAAACGTGACTGCCCCAAGCTGGGAGCAGCTTGGCATCCCCTGAGACTAGGGGAGGAGTGGTGTTTCCTCAGTGAGGGCCAAGCCATGGCGGAAGGTGCGTGGGATTGCGAAGCCCTGGCAGGTTATCCCCACTGATATGGGTCCAGTAGCGTCCCACTAGCACCACCAGCAGCTGGCTCCAGCATGGAGAAGGGGCAAGGATGATGGAGGGGACACCCAGGTGACATGAAATGGGTCTGAGTCCAAGGCAGGGGGGAAGGTGGGTGTACGCTGGAGTAGCCAGAGGATGTAGGTGCTCTGCAGAGCCCCAGGTGGCACCAAAACCAGCCCCAAAGAGGACAGCCCTGGGCCTGGGGAGACCCGACCACTCTGGTGAGCATCTACGTCATCGGGGTGCCTGTCAGTGCTTCCTGGCTCTGCTGCAGACCCAAGACCAGCCTGGCTCCAGATGAATTTTACCCTGAGCAATCCTCCTCCTTTCAGGATGGGCCACGGTGCAGCTCCCTCACCTCCTTGCTGCCCTCCCACCTGGTGGTGCCAGGCAAGATAGGTCAGTGTCATCCCGCCCTTGCACCCCTTCACGGAAGAAAAGTGACCCCTGCAGAGCCTCCTGTCCCCAGCGCCTGCAGGCACACGCGAGCTGCCTGACAGCAGACAGCAGGGAGAGACGCTCCTCCACTGTGTTCCCTGCTGGGGATCCCCTGGGGTGCTGAGCGGTGACAGGCAGGAGCTGCCAGAGGCGGATAAATCAGTAGTTAGCACCTGCCTGTCACTGTACAGTGGGAGATCAGCAGTGCTGGCAGGTACTGCACACACCTCTGTCACCAGCATCCCAGTCTGCCACCCACACCCACCAGGAGGTCAGGACAGCTCAGAGCATCCGTGCTGCTGCAGTCACTGGTGGCTTAACGATGCCCGAATAACCAAGCCTGGTTCACCGGCAACCTGTGATTTCACCCCTGGTGAGCTGGCCTGTCCCAAAATGCTCAACCCCTGCTGCTGACCACGAGGTAAACTTCCTGTGCAATGCAATAGTGTTTGCATGAATTCTGAAGTCACCCATGTTTCGATCAATGAAACAAGAAGCCGAGATGGTTCAAGTGCCTTGGGAGGATTTTCTGTCAGCTGAACATCAGGCTGCAAGGTCACTTGCTACGTGATGCCTAAAATGTTTTAATTGCTGTCACAGCAGATGTGTTATTCCTATGACAGATGCTTACACAGAGCAGGTGCGAGGAGCAAAGACAGGTATGGGGTTTAAAAGCCAGGATTTCACGCTCCAGCCCTGGCTCACTGTCTCCTGGCATTGATGCTCATCCCTGTTGGCTCACGGGATGAGAGGAGATAGATGAGTGCAGAGCAGCCCTGGCAGTGCTGGGAAAGCTTGTCCCACCCCTCCTACTCTTGCTTTCTGTTAAGGATGTCAGGTCTTGTCGTTAGTCGACATCTATTGCTTAATTTGGCTGATTGTTTCCCATTCTTTAATGTATCCATTATTTATTTATTCACTTGTGTAATGAGCAGTTCCAGATTGATCACTTTGGCATGTAAATGAGCTGCTCTAGTGCTTGTCACTGAAATTTGTAGATTGGGAGAGTTTGCAGTCAAACACAGCCGGAATCTAAATTGCAACATTTCAGGCAATAATAGCAGGGAGAAGACAGGAAGGATGTGCCATAAGTAAGATGGCTTAAGAGCAGGGTGCCCAGAGCTATGCCTACAACACGCCAGGAGCCCCGAGGCATGCAACGGAGTCCCTGTTTGCAGTGCCGAGGTTGCTGGGCAGGGCTGGCGTTGCTCCGCGGCTGGTTGCCCCAGGGGAAAAGGGCAAACAGTGGAAGCAAAAGGCTTTTGGGGAATGGTAGGATCTGGCCTGTGGCCAAGGGCTACTTGCACCAGTCTCTGAAGAGGGTTGGTTAGCCTAGCACGGTGAAAGGATTCCCAGACACAGGACTGTGGCCTGCAAGAAGCATCTGGCCTGTTGTATGTGATACTGATTTGCTGGCTCATGTTTGGCTTCTTCCCACCACTCAAGGCTCCATCAAAAGTCAACGGATGCATCCAGGATGCAATTCTTGTCAGTGAGAGACAACACTTAAGACAGGTAAAAGAGATCGAAGTGCATAAGCCTTCCTGCAGGCAACAGGCACTGTGGCTGGG